TTATTTTTTTCCTCTTATTTATTGGATAAATTTTTTGCAAATAGTTTAAAATCACGTTAAAGAGAACAACGTGATTTAAAATTATTGTTTTAAACTTATTTTTTTTATTAAAATTTTTTTTTATTAAATCTCAAGTGACCAATAAATCTCCAACTATAATTTTTTTGTGTTGAAAAAATTTTTTCAATGACATTTTTCTGAATTTAAATGAATGACTTTTACTGACTGCTTTTATTAAATGATTCTAATAAATAGTTAAAATATGATAGTTACTCTCTTGTTAATTGCTGTTTTTATTAATTAATATTAATTAATTATTAAATTTTTATTCACTTAAGACTTAATTATTTAAGTCTTAAGTGACCAAGCTATACTAGCACCAGGAACTAAACTAACTCAGACACTGCCCTCTAAAACTACACTAGCATCTAGCATTAGCATATGTCACTTTTTTTTTTTTTTTTTTTAATTATCTTTGCTTCCAACAAGGCTGCAAGCAACCACTAATTAGTGTTGGAAGTTACTGAAAGAGAAAAGACGAAGACTGTAGAGCAAGATAACGATTGACAGATGACTTAAAAGATTGCAAATAATATGAATCAGGAAAGCAAGATAAAGGAAGCGAATTCCAAAGAACTGATGTTCGAGGAAAAAAACTAGACGAATAAGAGTTTTTGGAGCACTTAGGAACAGTAACAGAAAAAGGATGAGACTTAATTGAATGATGAGTAACACAAGAATGAATTTTAGTAGATGGCACAAGAGTCGCTAGCTCATTCGAGCAGTGCCCATTATAGTATTTGTAGAAAAGAAAAAGAGAAGCAACATTATGACGATGTGACAGAGGTTGAAGGTTGGCTGCAAGAGCAGGTTCAACTATGTTTACAATGCGTTTTTGCACCTTGTCTAAAAGAGAAAGGGCATCATTAGAAGATCCGCCCCAGATATGGCAACAGTATTCCATACAAGGCCGGATTTGAGATTTATAGAGATAGAGAATAGAATCCAGAGTAAGAAAGTGACGAGCTTGATAAAGAAAAGCAACTTTAGCAGATGCTAATTTTGCAACAGATTTGATATGAGGTTTCCAAGAAAGATCAGAAGTGAGAGTTAATCCTAGAAGATGAAGGGTAGGAGACTCATCAAGTACATTACCGCTCACAAATATAGGAAAGTCTAAACTATTGCAATAGCGATTGGCCGAAAAAAATTGAGTTTTATCTGAATTAAAGTTCACCAGCCGTATGAGCCCCATGCTGTAGCAGAAGTGAGATCCTTTTCAAGCTCAGATGCCCCCTGCAAGCATCAGAGGGAGTTGGCTTCTTATCATGACAAGAATAAATGGTAGTATCATCAGCGAACAATGCCACCTTAGATGTGAGAATAACTGGAAGATCATTAATGTAAATTAAAAAGAGTACAGGGCCAAGGATTGAACCTTGAGGAACCCCTGAGGTTACAGAATAAGAAGAAGAGTGCTGTCCATCAAGGACAACTTTTATACTACGATTGGAAAGGAAGGATTCAATAATCTTAAAGATGTTACCAGATACACCGTAAGAAGAAAGCTTATAGAGAAGACCAGCATGCCAAACTTTATCAAATGCTTTAGAAATGTCAAGAGCAATGGCCTTAACCTCTCCACCTTTATCTAATGTGCGATAAAACCTATCGGTTATTACTGATAGCATATCAGCCATAGAACAAGAAGATCGAAATCCATATTGATGATCAGAAAGTAGGTTATGAGATTCGAGATGAGAGATTAAGTGTTTGTTAATTAAAGATTCAAAAACCTTGCTTATGATAGGAAGAAGACTAATGGGACGGTAGTTAGACAAATCAGATCGCTCTCCAGAATTTTTAAAAATAGTGATAACAGATGCTGCTTTCCAGCAGGCTGGAAAACAAGACTCTGATAAGCACTTGTTAAATAGTTTTGAAAGGATAGACGACAGCTCCAGAAAACACTTCTGTATGTTGTCCGGGCCGCATGCTGTAGAAGAGTCTAAGCGGGAAATCACTTTAGATACAGAAGCTGGAGTGATACGAATGTTGAGCAATGGATCAACCTGTTTGACGGCTATATCAGGTAGAACGCAACTAGTGGCATCAAGAGATGATATTGATGAAAAGTTCTTGGCAAACAATTCAGCTTTGTCTTTAGGTGAGGTGACAAAGTCTGAACGATACAAAAGAGGTGGAATTACAGACTTGCCCTTATTATTGATACTATTAAAGTTTCTCCAGAAGTGACGAGAGTCTAATTTTTGTGATGAAATACAAGATTTCATGATCTGAGAATAGCGGGCTTTGGCATTAGACAAAACATTTTTACAATGGTTCCTAGCAGTAATAAACAGACGTCTGTTTTCTGGAGAATTGTTTTGCTGATAGATATGGAAGTAATGGTTTTGATTAGCAATTACAGCAGCACAATGTGAAGAAAACCATGGAGAAGAGTGAGGTTTGACCTGGAATCGTCGAGAGGGAATAAAGGATTCCATGCCAGCCTGAATCCACGAATTTATGTAAGAAGCACATTTGTAAACAGGGAGACGAAAGATTTTCACCCAGGGGCCATATCGAAGAAAATCACAGAAAGAGTCCCAGTCAGCTTTAAGGTAGTTGTAAGATGTACGATGATAGGGGGATTCTGATAGTAAAGAAGAATGAGATAATAGTTTTAGAGAGACCAAACCATGATCAGAAGCACCTAAGGGTGAGTGTGAAGAAACTGAGCACTGACTAGGATCAGAAACAAGACATAAGTCGAGTAGAGAAGGTAAATGGTTCAGGTTGTCTGGAAAGCGAGTTGGAAAGTTGACTATTTGAGTTAGGGATTGAGAAAGACAAAAGTTGTGGGCCTTAATGCCTGCAGAGTCACTGACACTAGAGCCAAGCCATTCAGTGTGATGAACATTAAAGTCACTGACAACAACAATACTGGCTGATGGATAAAGAATGAGGGCTTGGTCAATATGATCAGAAATAACATCAAGAAGAGTGCAGTCTTGGGATGAGGGAGAGCGATATAGAACAAAGAGAAATGTTATTCTGTGGATTCAAACCTAGTTTCCCGACAAATGGGTGAATTCTTTCGAATGTAAATGCCTAGGCCAAGCATGTGACTATTGGAGTCTTTACGAATTAAAGGAAGATAACCATCAACACTAAGATCACAAGATGAGACAGCTGAACTCAAATTAGTCTCACAAAGAGCAAGTAGGTCTGGTGAACTTTGCAAGAGATAAGACTCAACAGAAGAAAAGTTACTTTGAAGACCACGAATATTGGTGAATGATAGGTTTAGCGAACTTGGTGATGACTGTGGTTTTTTGTGTTTTATAGTTTTTGTTACTTTTTTCATTTTTAAATTTGTTAAAGAACTTGACTCGAAACATAGATAGTACTCAGTACACTGTCTTATAGCCCAAGCAATTGCCTCATTTCCACTAATAAACCCTAAGCCGTAACAAAGGGCTCCAATGTGGCCTTGGCAATGCACACCAAAAGTACAAACAGGGACACCATCCATGCGCAACATGGCACTGTTAGTACTCTGATATTTTTCAGCTGTTGATGGAATCATCCTCTCTGAGAGCTACCACAGAGTTCGGGAAACCTGACTACCAGCCGGCCTCAGAACCATAAAACTGAGTTTTAGAGCTGTACCCTCATTTGGAGATAATAGAATGAGTTGCCTAGTCATAAAAACAAAGACAAAAGCAAAACCCATGAATCAAGTCAAGAAGATCCAGCGTATAACATCCTAAACTGGAAACAATGTATTAAAAAAACATCTGTGTCAGCCTAATAGATGAAGAAGGGGTGCGAGGCTGGTCAACAGATAGAATCTGTTTACCCCTTGAGTCTTTGCCTAGGAGGCCTTCTACAAGACAGCAGCCGGATGCATTTAACATTTGCCCAAGATGAGTATTTTTATCGAGACACCATCTCTAAATAACATCAGCTCTAAATAACATCATCTCTAAATAATATCAGCTCTAAATAACACTATCTCTAAATAACATCAGCTCTAAAAAAACATAACATCAGCTCTAAAGTCACTTCAAAAGTCACCCTGTCTGCAAATAGAGTGACTTTTGAGGTGTCTGTAGTAACTCTGGCTTTTCAAAAACAATTTTTGACTGTCTGGAAACAGGGTACCTTCAATGTTGTAGTAACTATGGTTATTTAAAAGGAAATTCAAAAAGAGGTTGAAAAACAATTGCATACAGCCAAATCACTTGCAGCAGCTTTGCAACAAATGTTTCGTATCCAATACATTAAAACAAAAAAAAAGAAAAAGTGTAGATGTGCCAAGATTTGAAGGGGAGTGTCTCAACAAACCTGAAATACTTGAAAGGTTGAAAGATGCTGAGAGCAAAAAAGTAGCTAGCTAAAAAACAACATAAGCTTAGCTCTAATGGCAAACAGCAAATAAACCAAGCAACAAGTCCAAAAAAAAAAATTAGCTATACCTTATTTGATTATTAGGTTTAAAGTATGGTTAAAACATATTGTTATTTAGGTTTAACATAACATCGAGGTAGTTAACAATTTTTCAGTTTAATGGTGTGCCAATTAATGGTATATATGGTATATATAATATATATATATATATATATATATATATATATATATATATATATATATATATATATATATATATATATATATATATATATATATATATATATATATATATATATATATATATATATATATATAGATATATATATATATATAGATATATATATATATAGATATATATACATATATAGATATACATACATATATAGATATATATACATATATAGATATATATATACATATATATATATACATATATATATATATATATATATATATATATATATATATATATATATATATATATATATATAGATATATATATATATATATATATATATATATATATATATATATATATATATATATATATATATATATATATATATATATATATATATTAGAAAGCAACCCATAAGTCAACGCTTCGCAGGATTGGTGAGCAATTGTACATGCAACAAGTAAAATAATATTTTTTAAGAGTTATTTTATGAGTTTTTTAATTTATATGTGATTACAAGGCAAAAAAACTATATTTTAGAAGTTCTGTCATAAAAGTGTGAAAAGATTTTTTAACAGTAATGATTGTCATGCAAGGTTGCTTTCCTGCATGATCATCTTGTTTACAATAACTCAAGGTATAATTTATGTTATATAATTTATTAGTATAATATTATTATAATATTAGATACCACTGTACTAATTTCTATTGTTCAAACTCATATAAAGTAAGAAAAGATAATTTTTAAATGAATTTTAGTTGGAACTTTGCTTAGCTAAATGAAACAGTTGTGACTTTGTTATTTTTATTAGCTACATTATTACAACTTATTGCTTTTAGGTTAAAAATTGTATTTTAACAAAAATTGTGACAAGATAATTAATTTTAAATATATTAGTGGTATTAAAAGCTAAAAGAGTTGTGATGTTTTATGTTTAATTAAACAATTTAATTTTATGTTTAATTATATTTGGAAAAATCAAAATTTATTTAAAATAGTAGATTTAATAATACTAACAACGATTAATTTAACAACAATCAAAGCATCTGCTCATTTTTATTGCTTATTTCTTTTCAGATAATAAGTAATAATTGTATTGTATTTTTATGAAACCTAAAAATTTTTTTAAACTTTACTTTATGTTATTTTTAATAATCAAAAATGTTTTATTTTGTCCCAATTTTTGCCTAGCATAAACTATTTTGGCATATTTTTACAAAATGACAAATTTTCTCCTAAAAAAAAGTTGTTTTTTATTTTAATTAAATTTAAAATTATCTAAAAGCTTTTTTTAATATTTGCAGCATACTTGCAATACTTAAAAGTATAAAATAATTTACTGACTGAAGTGGTAAACTAATTAGATTATTCTTTGACCTATAATTATTTGGTCTATAAATTTGCAACAATATTGGTTTAACAGATTACCAGGCACCATAGTAAATCATACTAAACTTTATGCTGATGGCTGTAAAGTTAGAGTCAACAAGTCACTACTAGATACCACCTTCCTTCATGCTGACATAGATGACAGGTTGCACAAGTGTCTGATGCTTTTTAAAATAAATTTAGAGTATGTTGGATGTAAAATTTAGAGTGTATTATAACAACAAGTCAACTCACTCATACACAGTGAGACAACCAAATGAAATACTCCTTCACAGCATCTAATTAATTTAACCTTTAATAAATTTTTTTTTTTTTTAATTAAAAGTTTATAACATAACTTTTATAAACTGCTGCTTTTATTGCAGCTTAGCAACATAGAAGAGCCTATTGCTGCTTATCAACATAAAAGAGCATATTGCAACTTACCAACATAGAAGAGGCTGATTCTGCACTTTATTATTAGTTTAAGCAATATTTTTACAAGTTAAACAATTCAATTTCAATTCAATTCAATATATTCTGAAATAAGTTGTAAAATTTCAAGGACTTTTACAAATAGTACAAGTACTAATCTAAAGTAAAAACCTACAACATTACAATAAAAGTGATCATAATAACAATAATAATAGTATTGATAATAGTTATAGAAATAATATTAACAATAATAATAAGATGACGATGAAGAGGAATATTATTAGTAACAATACTAACAATAATAATAAAGATATTATACAATCAATATTAGATAATAGCAATAATAGTGATAATAACAATTACATAGTATAAGTAGTAAATAAACTTAAGAAAAAATTAAAAAAAACAATAATAATACTTATTATGTTATAAATAAAAATAACAATTTACTAATAAAGATAGAAGAATATTATTAATATCAATACTAACAATAACAATAAAAATATGAGAACAAAAAGTTAATAATAAAACAAGTAGGTATCAAGAGAGTAGTAATAATAAAAGCATAACAATATATTTCAGAGGTTTCAGGTATAATATCTTGCTAAAAAATAGTTAAAAAGACAGTTTTTGAAATTAGTAATTAAGTCAATTGATTTTAATGGTAAAGGTAAACTGTTCCATGATTTTACACTTTGGTATTTTATGGATTTTAGACCATATTTTACAGAAGAATGATTTGGTACATGAAGATTATAGCTATTAGCAGATTGTAGATGATAGCGACAGCTTTCTCTAACAGTAAAAAAATTTGTAAATGTGCTGGGTAGACATTTTTGTTTATAATTAAAGACAAAATGAAAATTTAATAGTTGAACTAGATCATCAATTTTGAGTATTTTGGATAAAAAATAAAGATGATCGGAGTTAGATTGATTGCTGAAAATGTATTATTTTTAATGCTTTGTTTTGTAAGTTGCATACTTTAGGTACATAACTGGATTGATTTTTTGACCACTCAGCCTAAAGTTTAGGTGTTTACTGATTTTAGATTGTTTTGATTTAAAGATGATAGTTTCAGTTTTACTAGTATTCAGAGACAGTTTGTTAGATCGAAGTAAGTTAGTGTTATCAGCAAAATGGTAGGAAGTTGTATATTTTAATGATAAATTAAGGTCGTTAATGAAAACAAGGAAAAGCAATGGTCCTAATACAGAGCCTTGAGGTACACCTGTAGTGCATTTTACTAAAGAAGATGTGTTACCGTTAATAGATACAAATTGAAACCTATTAAAAAAGATATGAGGTAAACCATTGGAGAGAAATTCCTCTAATACCATAGTATTCCAGTTTACTTAGAAGGATAGAATGATCAACAGTGTCAAATGCTTTCTGTAGATCAACAAACACACCACAAGCAAAATGCTTATTGTCAAGAGCTTTTCTGATAACCTCAGTGATTTCAATAAGTGCATGAGTTGTGGAATGCTTGCTTCGAAATTTGCTTGTAAAGACATTGATATTTATCTAAAAAGTTGTAAAGTCTGTTGTGCATAGCTTTTTCAAATATTTTACTGATGTTTGATAGTAGCGAAATTGGGCGATAGTTAGTGTGGTCAGTTCTAGAGCCTTTTTTATAAAATGGAATAACTTTAGCTATTTTAAAGACATCTGAAAAAAGTCCATTTTCAAAAGAGTTATTTATCATTGTACAGAGAGGCTTTGAGATGATATGGGAAACAAGTTTGAGAAGAAACGTGGGAATACTATTAGTACCTAAACTTTTTTTACTTTGTAAACTTTTTATAAGATTTGATATTTCATTTTCAGTGACTGGATCTATAAGAAAGGAGTTAATATTTGGGTTATTTAAATAGTCTGAAAAATTACATTTAGGTGAAACAATTTTTGTTAACAGTGTTTGTTGAGTATTTACAAAGTAATTATTAAATATGTTTGATACAGCTTTGCTGTCTGAAATTGTATTGCCATTAAATTTGAGATTAATAGATTTACTGGAAAAGGAAGAAGATTTGATATTAATATTTCTTTTATACCTTTCCAAGTATTTTTTACATTGTAAAGATTATTGTTAAAAAAGTTGATGTAGCATGATTTTTTAGAAAGTTTTAGTAAGTTGCAAATGTTATTTCTGTACCATTTAAATTTATTAAAAATATGAATTTTAATGTTATGATTTTTTGCTTTTATATATTGTTTATATAGTTTGTTTTAAATAGATATTGAGTTTAGAATTCCATTGGTGATCCAAGGTTTTGATTGAAGTTTAATTTGTTTAGCAGTTAGTTTTTTATAGGGTGCATGTTGATCACGAATTTTGTTAAAAGTTTTAAAAAAATAGTGCAATGATTCATTTACATTATTGTTATTTGTAATTTGTATTTGCCAGTCTGCATTAGAGATATCCTTAATAAATTTTTTATTATCGAAATTTTGGAAGGTTCGTCTGAATATTACCTCCTTAGTTTTTTAGGGAGAAGGACAAGGAATGCAGATAAACCGCGCCATATGATCAGTAATCGATATTGTAAGATTGCCTGAAATTAAATCAGGAGTTTGGAAATTTAAAAAGATATTATCAATGAGTGTCTTAGATGTAGCAGTTATACGTGTAGGTTGAATTATAGAAGGGGAAAAAGAATAAGAACATAATGTATCAAGATAACTAGAGATAACTTTCCATTCATTATAATTTAACAAGTCCATATTGAAATCACCCATAAGGACAACTTGTTTATTTTCTAAACTAAGCCTCTCAAGCAAGGGATTAAAATGATCAGTAATGAATTCATTAGAGTTGATGGATGTTGATATATAGTGCCAACAATAATATTTTATTTTAGGGGATTGACGATTTCAACAAAGATAGATTCCAGGTATTTTGGAGAGTATACTATTAGATCACTACGAATAAAATAATTTAAGTTTGAGCGTAAATATAGAAGAGCACCACCTTTTTTGGCCTCAGTAGGACTATGCTCAATAGTAAAACCATTTATATTAACATCAGTTTTACTGGAATCGTTAATATTTAGTCTTTATTCAAAGATACCAATTACTATTGGAAGAGTGGTAAGAGAGCTTATTAGATTGTGAAGACTGTCAATGTGATAAGGGAGCGAAGCAATGTTTAGATGTAGGTATAAATTACAATTATTATTAAGAACTTTATTAAGTTCAAGAATGTCATAATATTTACAGTTAATACTTTTGTTGGAGATTTTGTTTATATTATTGAATAATTTTTTGAAGTGAGGTGGAGATTTTAGAGATTTTAAATTATTGGTTGGTATAGTCTGAGACGATAAAATTAAAGAAAGCTCAAAATCAGAAAGTGAACAAAATGGCAAATTTTTGTTGATGCAGTCACTGCAATACCAGTCAGTAGAATCTTTTTCAATAAGGCTATAGGTGTGTTTGTTAATATAATTACATTTAGGGTGCAACCAAGAAGAGCAGTAATTACATAGAATTCCTTTATGGCTATCAACCACTGTTTTATTGCAGAATTTACAAAGATTTCTTTTTAACATGACTTATTATGCTTAAACAAAGTATAGAGAAAAAATGATTAAATAAAGATATCTACTATATATTTATAAAGAAACAGAGAGATTAAGACTAAGAAATGTTAATCTAGAAATGGTTGCTATTTTAAATACTGAGGAATGATCAGTTATAAAGAAATGATAGTAAGATATAAGAGATTTAAATACTTTACACAGGAGAATAAGTATTACAGCTAGATGATATTAGAATATTATTAACTTGATTTAGAATATAAATTTAGATATTAATACCTCTAGTAGCTTGAGACATAGTATAATATAAATAATATATGTCATTTAAATAATTTGATGATAATAAGGTAATAAGTAATAATAAGTTAAGAAGGAGATAAGTAGTAAGATTAGGTAAATAACATTTATATGAGATAAATAATGATGATGTAAATTGTAATAAGAGGTAAATAATGGATAAATATAGGATAAATAATGCTATATTATTTAATAATAATGATAAATATTTAATTATAATAATAATAACAATGATAACTGCTAATAATAATAATCAAAAAGTCAATAATAAAAACAAATCCTGGAAAATACTTAAATTTACAAATAATATTTAAAGCAAAAAATAATCAAAACAAATTTAAAAAACTTGTGATCTTTTCCTTTCATTAACTTGATTCTTTCTTTACTTTCTCTTAGTTTATTAATTTTGTAATGTATCTTGTTCTTTAATTATATTTATTTGAGTCTATGAAGTTCTTACACATCTCTAAACTTTAAGTACTTTGGTTTTCCGATATATTTTTTATTTACTTTTTAGTCTTTTTTTTTTTAAGTCTTTTTCTTTTTCTATAAATATTTTTTCCTCTTAATTGCTGTCATGTAAAAATATATTACTTTATTTGATAAACTTTTTTTATTTACAATTCTATCTATAACTCCGCCATCTTTACCTACGCATGTATAAACAATTGATTGCCTACTATTTTTTTCAATATGAACTTTTTTTATTTACAATTCTATCTATAACTCCGCCATCTTTACCTACGCGTGTATAAACAATTGATTGCCTACTATTTTTTTCAATATGAACTTTTTTTATTTACAATTCTATCTATAACTCCGCCATCTTTACCTACGCGTGTATAAACAATTGATTGCCTACTATTTTTTTCAATATGAACTTAACAAGACAATGAATATTTTTATATACATTTGTAATTATATTAATTTTGAAAGAAATTTATAGTAATGATAATAATAGTAATAATAATAATAAAAATATCTTTTTTTGCTGCCCCAAAATAAATAAAAATAAAACGTTGTATAAAGTAACGTTATGCAAACTTGAAGTAAAGACTACTTTTAAAGTCTCTTAACTTAAAAAGCAAAAGTATTTCTTTACATATAGGGTATATATATATATTACATATATTTACATATAGGGTATATATGTTACATATATTTACATATAGGGTATATATGTTACATATATTTACATATAAGGTAGATTATGGCAGCTTTTATCCTGGTAGGCTTTCTAACAAGGATAGAATAAACTATTCAGAATTTTTTTTTTTAGCTGACATATTGTCTCAAGTATTTCACTGTTTATGTATTGATCTGCAAAATGATAAGGTATACATTATTGGTACTGTAAAGCTGAAAACTTCTTTAAAAATTAGGTGTCTTACGACAGTTGAGTGACTTTGATCAAAATGTTTTTTTTTGGCTAGTTGATAATAATTTACCAGCATTTAAAAACCAAAAAATGTTATAAATTGTTTTCAAAATCACATTACTCAAGTTTAAAAATTATTTGGTATTATATTAATCCACAAACACAACAGACAAACAAAAGCTTTAACTTGATTATAAGCCAATTTGTACATTTTATTGTGAAACAATATCTTTGGATATTGAAAGTTTGACATAATAAAAAATAAAAACACACGAGTCAGTGTTATAAACATCCAACTAGTGTTTAAGATATATCCTGGTTAGACATTTTATTTTTTATTTTAGAAAGACCAGTGAGAAAGACCATTCTTTTTGCCATTTTTATTGAACAAAAGCCAGGGTTTTTGTTAAATCTGATAAGCCGTATTTTGTGAAAAAGATTTGTGAAACCAGCCAATCAGATTTGTGGAACAAGCAGCATAAAGCTTCTCTGATTCTGCTGTTTTAAAATTTAGAAATGAAGGAGGAGGATCTTGAAAAGTTTTTTGTTTTGAAAAATTTTTCAAAACTTTACCCTATTTGTTAAAGTTTTGAAAGGTGGAGCAGAACTTTAGAGACCAGTTCAGAAAACTATCAGATTAATGTCACCATCAAAAATACAGTGTCAATCAACAAATTCTCATACCCAATTCTCAAGACACTCTAGATATATATGCTAATGTCAAGTCTGTCCTGGATCTCATTAAAGAGAGAAAGGAAAATGTATTGATGATATTGAAACTGGCCTATATAATTTGTGGTGTAATAATCTTATAGATTCAAACACCTTACTGTTGGTGTGAATTCGAATCAGTTAACCAACTCAATTGTGGCACTTTTGGTGGAATAAAAAATAAGCATAAAGAGTTCATCAACTCAAGTTTAGACTTGAATCTTTGTATAATGAAATTTTGTATCTAAGTGTTGTCATATTGCTGATTGAGAAGCAGCTCCCTCAACTGTGGTTCAATGAAAATACCTTCTTTTTTTTTCACAGAACTCAGTTTTGCCTTCAAATCAGCACATTTCATCTACTGATGATTATTATATGTGTGGCATTCAGAATATCTTTTTGGTTTCCTTCATAATCTTTGAATATGTAACAGGTACAGATGGTAACTGATTGCCAATATGTAGCAATGCAGTTTTGACACTCATTTTTAAAGGTTTCATTAAAAAAAAAAAAAACATTCAGTAGAATGTTGTAGAACGTCATAGCAATAACAAAGTTCATTTTCCATTTGAAAAAATGAAATAACATTATTTACAAACTTTATATATTATATTAATTTTTCATATCAACTGGGGGTTGATACAAACACAGGGCTAGTTGTATTTGCATACATTAAAGAAACAAAAGCAAAGAGGTAAGCAGATACAAATCATACATACAAAAAAAAACACTAAAAGGCTAACATTGCATCTAAAAAAATATTTTTGGACAGTGAAGTTGATAAAAAAAATCCAAATTTAAATGTTAGAAATAAATGATTATTGTTCCTTTTTGTTTTGAAGTGTATGCATTAACTTTATAATTAATGTAATTGGTAACATTATTTATGAGATTATCAATAAAGTTTGACAGTCTAAGAGTATTAATAGCATGTGTGCTTTAGTTAATAATATCTTTAGACTAAAGTAAACTAACCAATATTTTTTGAGTTTTTTTTTTAAATTTGAACTGATAAAGTAATCTCTGTTAAATGCTCTGTGCAATTTTTCTGCAATATAAAAACAAAAAAGTCTGGGTCTCTACATTGCATATGCATAATATTATATTTATACTAAATTCATTTAGTATAAACTTTTTTTAAATAAAAAGTTTTTTTTTTTCAATGAATTTTTTTTACTTACTAAGTCAAGAATTAAAGTACAATTATGTCCAAAGTCACCCACTTTTAAGTTAAGCTTATATAACTCATCCGCTTATAAGTTATATTTCAAATAATTAAAGTTTTTTATTTAGTGATTTTTCAATGAATTTTTTTATATAGGCAAAAGAATTATTTGTTCAATATCATGCTACCTTTGCGTTGTATCCTTTATTTAAACTCACAAATAAAGTGAGTATTATTTTTATGCAATTTGTTTGTGTATTATTTTTTATTTAATAAAAAACTTCTCAGTTTTTATGCTAGGTTTGTATGGAATATACAGTAGATGTGTTAATGGTTCTATCTTCAGAAACATGTATGTTAAAATTTTTTTCAGGCTAAAATGAATATCAATATATTTGTTTATTTTATTTACACCTTCTTTTCTTATCTTGTATAAATATCTTTCTTTTTAGTATATCTGCGAGAGTTTCTTAAAAGCATTAGCAATGTTGAATGGATTCAAGCTATACTAACGGTAATGAAAAGTTATAATACACAAATAGAGCTAATGGATAAGCTGAGCTTATTGTTGCAAAGAATTTCTAAAATCAGGTAGTTATGCTCGAATGATAATGCATGTTTTTTGTTTGTTTTTTAAAATCATATTTCATCGTTTTAACCATTAATTTGCTTTTAATAGATCAAACAAAACGATATTTGACGTACTGCGTGTAAAGGACAGTGTTATCGAACTTATTTCTTTATGCAAATCGGAGTCTATTCAATCAAATTTAAAATCAATTTTATTTAATATTGAATTAATGAAATCACGAAAGTTGTGTGTTTCCTAAACTTATTATTTATATGTTTTAATTGAATAAAAATTTTTAAAATAAATGCTTAAATTAAAGATTATTTGTTGTATTTTCTTTCATTTGTTGTATTTTCTTTCATATAGTTACAAAAGTAGTTTTTAAATTTAAATTTTAATTTAAATTTAATTAAATTTAAAATTAAATTAAATTTAATTAAATTTAAAATTAAAATTTAATTTAAAAAAAAATTTTAAATATTGTTCGCATTTTGTCGTGAAACAAAATTTTCGTAAATGTGAATGATATTTAATACAATTCTATAAAATTATAGAATTGTATTAAATATCATTCACATTTACGAAAATTTTGTTTCACGACAAAATGCGAACAATATTTAAAATTTGACATCTTTTGAAATAAAACAAGGATCTTATTGCACAAATTTTTGCAATGTAAATGGCCTTTGATATAATTATGTAAAACCAAAAGTGTAATTTAATAATCTCCTTCATATTACTATATAAAGGATATTTTATTCTCTCAAATTATAATTCATATGAAAATTATTTATTTTGTAAATCAAAAGATAATTTTTTGCCAAGCTACTTATTAAACATCGTGTATATGTGTTAATATAATAAAATGTATATAATATATAATTTTAAAATCAGATTTTAATTTGCTACGTTGGACAAACATGAAAAGAATTAACACAGCAAAATCAATCTGTCAATAATCTGGTGTTGAATGGCTCGATTTTCTAAAAGAATTTGTCGATTGCTGGTTAGTTTATTATTCTCAATAATAGTAATGATATTCTCAATGATAGTAAAGTAATTATTTTTTGAAATTTTTTAAATGTTTAAAATTTTTTGAAAGTGATGTCAGAATAAATTGTGATTTATTTAATTTATTTTAGGGAATTTAATTTATTCAAATGTTTATCTTAATAAATTAATATTTCACAGAGGACATCATTCTTAAATTTGTGGTCTTTAGTAATAAAGAATATATTAATATAAATAAATACAAATAAATAATTCTGAACATCGATGTGGTGTGTTAAAAAAGATTTTAACATGGTGGAAAAATTTAATTCAGGCTAGATGCGTCTTGCATTAATTATCGGACAGATTTTTATAGTTGTTGTAGTATTTTGAAAGCATTTTCCAGAAAATCAAATTTTTTATCAGAGTTTAAACAATGGAAAGCCACTAAACTTTTTTGAATAATTTTAAACTTTTTAGATCTTTCAGTTGCAGCTTGTATTTTATTGTGTCCTGTGTTAATTCTCACTTCTTTCTTGTAGTAAATTGGCAAACGTTATGGTATAGGCAGAGCAGGGCATCGCTACCAAATATGCAAAAACATTACTGCTACATCCTGTTTCTTTGGCAGTCAGAAACATTATTATTATTATTATTAAAACCACTTTTCTGCTACTTTTTCAAATTTTAAAATTGGTATCGCTTGTCGGCATCTAGTTTGCTACTGAATTTTTTTTTCCATCTAACTACTAGCTTTTTTTAAATCTAAAATTTAATTTTTATATTTAAAATTTATATCTAAAAATTAGCAGTTAACTGTTAGTATAATAAAAATAATTCAGAGCCAAGAAGTTTGGATGGAAGTAATGGATTGAAGTAATGGATAAAAGTATAAATCTTTATGAAAATTCACGATTTAAATCTTTTTAAGTAAATAAAAATCTTCTAGATAGTCATTCAGATCCAGATATTAACTTTTATGATAAAATAAAATAAAATTATTCTTAAAAAATATTTTTCTTTGTTGTAAGGAAACTCGCAGAAGACTAAAATAGTCTTTTCATCGAGAACCTTTAAAACACAAAATAAACTTTAATGAACTAGTTCAACAAATGCACATAAGTATTTTGGTATCTACTATATAATAGAAGTAGTAGGGATTTTTATTATTACTATTTTTCCCAAATTGCTTAATACATTTCGATGATGTTGGTTAAGTCAATTATGATTTGTTTTAGTTTTTTTTTCAGAGCAATAAGGTTATCCATTTTATTAAGTTCCATATTTTGAAGTATTTTTTTGTTATGTAAATATGGGCCACGGTATATTAAAGAAAATCGCGAGAATTTTGTTTTTTTTAAAGGCAAGGTGAAGTTGCCTGTTCCTCGTGTGATATATTTGTTTGCGTTGGTATGAAAAAAGCTATCAGTAAAGTATTTCGGAACAAGTCCGAGTTTGTATTTTAGCATGAATAAGATATTTTGGTAAATATTTATTTGATAGATATTTAATGCATTCAAATTTTTAAGTAAAGGGTCGGCATGAGTGAATTTATCTTTATTATAAATTTATGATAATAGCAGTGAAATGAAAATCATATGTCCATTATATTATAACTTAAATACTTCAAATCCTGAAATAGATATAGATTAAAGCGGGTCAAAAATTTTTTTTAAGAAGCAGCATATTGTGGGGTGTTCATATATATGTGTAGGATGTATACCAATTTTGAGGTCTGTGCTAGCCTCCGTAGGGGTCGCACACAAAATCGGATTTTTTGGCGTTTTAGAGAAAAGGGGGGTATAAGCAACTTTTATATATAAATATTTTATAATTGTTTTATTTTATATAATTGTAATCATTTAGGTATACTACAAAAATGTTCTACTAAAATGCTGGTTAGGTATTTTGTTAGAATAAGGGAGACAAGGTGTGAAATAAGGGATATAAGCTTTAAAATGCTTTCTGTTCATATTTTGCTATTTTTAAGCAAAGAAACAAAACTTTTAAAAATAAAAAAAAAATAGAATGAAATGTTATTATAGGCTATTTAAAAAATGCATATTTTTATAAATGTCTTATTTCCATTCCCTTTTCCAATCATATTTAGGCATTTTTCCCCTGGAGTCCAACAGGTTTATCACAAATTTGTGACGTTTTTCGAGCCATATCTATTTTCTGATGCCTTTGTGACAACTCCAACTATTCTTTTCATATTCTGACTATGACAAGGATACTTTGGAATACTTAATGGACTGTCATTGGCTTTCAAAATTTCTTCATTTGAATAATCATTCAGTAAAGGTGGTGAATAAACTTCCTCGATGTCCCAATTTATTAAATCACAGTAATCTTTGTCTCCAAGATTTAATGTTGTAGGAAGTTTAAAATGTCTGTTGGATTCGCGAATATTTGTGGATTTAAGAATCCTTTGAACTGCTGTAGTTCTAACTTGTTTTTTTTCATCACTTATCATCGCCAATAAAATATGCTCTGGGTTAGAAAAATATGAGTTTTGCTTCAAAACTTGCTCCATTAGCTCCTTGTATTTTACATTAAAAACTACATTTTTAATTAATTGAGTAAAATACCAAAAATTTTGAGCGCCATTGATTGCCAAATAATTTGATTTGATTTGGAACCATCTTGGTGCATAGCATTGCATAATTATTGAAACCAAGTCAATAAGTTCTTTTGTTGGCTTTTCCGTAGAAATGTATAAGCGTAGAATACAATTTGCTCTTGTGAGCCATCGGGCATGATGAAGATTTCCGGAAAAATATTTAGATATTTCATTTGAAACATCTCCTGATTGAATAGATAAACAGACACTGTAAAGATATTTTTGATCTGAACTTAATTCACTAAAGAAATTATCTGGAATTAAATGAAAAAAACCATTAATGGAAAGGAACTACTGCTAAATTAGTTAAGTCGTCTGTTATTTTTTTACCAATTTCACCTTTAAATGATCCAGGGCCAGAAGTTTTTCTATCAATCAACTCAAATACATGTTTAAAGGGAAGTTCATTTAAATGTAGTTGACAAACGAGCCACTGCATAGATCTTTTGAGTTCTGTTTCAATTAATTATATCACCTCCAAATTTTCCAGTATTTACTACAGTTGCATCACATAAGAGAGCATTTAAAGAACCGCTGCTGCCAGTTTCAAATATTAAATTGAAAATTTCATAAGCAATGCAGCGAGAAGTTCCATTATCAGATGTTAGATAATCTATATATCTGCTGCTTGGTTCTCTAACAATTGTAATATGTTCTTCTTTAATTATCCCTGCAATTATTATTGTGTTGTTTTTCCTTCCATCAAAATCAATACATTGTAATCTCAAATTTTTTCATTTTCTTTCATTTACATTTATTTGTCCAACACAAAGTCTTTCTCTTTCTACTTTTTTCCTATCAAGCATATTTGATTCATTTTGTATACCCATGTCTTTTAGAGCAGCATTGACAATAGCAGCAGTTGTTCTGTAACTGACACGATAACGATCTGTTATGATTGCTAGTTCATTGTAATGAAACCTATTTTGATTACATTTTTTTTAGACATCAGAGTCATATAGCTTGTCGTATTCATTATTAGATTTATCTAATATGATATTATTCTCAGATTCATAGAAATTGTCATCAGTAATTTGTCTATCAATGTTTTTCTCAACATTTTTATATGTATTTAATTGTTTTTGCCTTGTTAGGAATTTTTTTTTTCTAGTTTCAGTTTTTTTAAAGTAGATGTGTAGGTACGATCAAGTTGTCCAAGTTGATTTGTGCGTTTCTTTTGCCCAACAAACGCATGCCACACATTTATTAGCACTTTAGAAGTACATCTACATTTTTATTTTTCTACTCCTAAATCATAACAATTGCATGAACATATTTCAAACATGTTGTCAAAAGCTTTCAATTTGTCATAAAAATTAGCATTTCTTTTAAGTCTTGAAGTTTTATTTAAACTGGATGCTTTTTCTATTAATTCAAATACTTTTGAGAATACTCCCTCTGTTTCGATTGTTGGCAAACTGAATTTATGCCAAATATATTCAATTTCATTGGTAACTAATCTGTAACATTTATGAGCAGTACTTGATTCTTTGGCTTTAGCATCTTCATTTCTACGAATATAGTAGCAATTTTTCGCAACATCACTTTTTGTAGGAACCATTGCAGTTGGAAATTTAGAACCTTGTCCAAATGTTAACTTGTCAGTTTTACTGCGAGTATGAAACGCAGCCGTGGCGCAGCGGTAGCGCACTTGCCTCAGAAACGTAAGATCCGTGGTTCAAACTTCACCTCTGAGCAAGTTTTG